AGTCCCTCTCCCTCTCTTTTGCTAACTCACGCTCTCTCTCACTCTCTAGCTCTCTCTGTCTCTGTCTCTTGGTGCTTCCCTGGTTCTCACATCTGTTTTTCTCTGGACTCTCTCTATCTCTGTGTGTGGATTACTCTCCCTATCTCTCTCCTCTCTCTCTCTCTCTCTCTCGCCGACGCCGTTCATCCNTGTGGATTACTCTCCCTATCTCTCTCCTCTCTCTCTCTCTCTCTCTCTCTCTCCCCCCATACCCACTCCCCCCCAACTCTGCTGTTTCCACCAGCCCTAACTTTAATTGCCTGAATTGCCTGTTCTGTGGCTGGGCTGTTATTAAGAGGTATTTGGGTTACAGCCCCCTGGGGCTAAGATCTGGACTCCCAGGCTCTTCTGACCACAAGGGTCACTCCTGGATGGAATGATCAGCCCAGCTGCCCTCTCTCCAGGCTGAAGCCCCAGGGAGGGCTGAGATCCATGATTCCACCCAATGTGGCTCTCCCAGGCTCTCCTTTCACCCAGACTCAGAAGGATCTCCCCTCGACCAACTGCTCAATCACGTTTTAAAAGTCTTCCCCATCATCTAACCCAAATGTCTCCTCCTTCAATCTGTGTTCCTTCTGTCATGGCCTTTCAGAAACTAACTGCCCTTTCTTTTCATGGCTGGCTTGCTGACAAGGAAATACACAAGCGGCATTGAGTTCTGCCTGCAGGGCCAGGAGCTGGGGGTCTGTCAAGCACCCAGCTTGCCCTTCTCCCCACAGACTCTCCTGGGTGCTTGTGAGGACCCCAGGGAGAGGCTGGCGGGGTCTAGGATGTGGAGGGAGGCAGGCAGGGATCAGGCTGGGACATGGCTGGGACCCCTCAGATGTGTAGGGGAGCTTAGATATGAATGTGCAAATGTGTATACGTGCTATAGTGTATGTGGGTGAGACTGTGTGAGCATGTGTATGTCTCTGTATGGTCCAGGGACTAGCTGACCATGCGCTTTGTGGTGTGTCTATGTCTGGGAGTATTTGGCCTATGATGGAGTGTTCAGGTGCAGTTCTTTGACTTGTTCTGGGGTCCCAGCAGTGAGTCAGAGGCTCTGCAGGTGATTCAGGGAAATCTGTGATTGTTATAGCTCAAACTCGAGCGAGATGCAGGCGTGGGGTTATCTGTGAGACTGAAGCCAAGTCAGCGAGTGGGTGACTGGTTAAGAACACTTTACTGCTTTGTGTGGATGCCAGTGGAAGAACATGTGAGAGTTTGAAAGCGTAGGCGGGTGACAAAAGCTGTGGCCGTATGCAGACGGCTGATGGGGTTGCCTGGGCGTGGGCACCAGGTGTTTAACATTCTTGGTGTCCCAAGGGCTTTATATTCGCAATGCGTGCCTGAGATCGCACGACTGTGTGGATGTGTAAGCGTGTGAATGGGGCATAAACTAATTTGGGATTATCCGCGCGAGCAGGGATCTCTCCGAGCTGCTGAGAAAGTTAGAAAGCTGGAGGGGCCAGGCTGCTCGGGTGGAGGGTGGGCTGCGTTAGTGGAGGATTGCCGGTAGGGCCTGACTTGGGGTATCTTAGACCAGGGAAGCCTCCTCAATCACACTTGAAGAACCACGACCTTCCCAAAGCCCCGGGCGCCCCCGACCCAGAACCCTGAGGGGCGGGGCGTGGCGTCCTGCCAGAACCGCACAGCTGGGCGTGCGTCAGCGCTGACTCATCCGTCCGGCGGCCCCCGGGACCCCCTGGGGGGGCCCTGAGAAATTCCTCGGGAAAAACACCCGAGGCTTGCTCAGCTTAGGAAAGCAACTTCCACTCCCCCCACCACCCGGCCCGCACTCCGCCCCTCCCTTCCCTGAGCCCCGCCCCGTCTCGCCCCTCCCCAGGGCCCTCCCGAGGCCCTGTCCATGGTGCTGATCTCGGCTCTGGGGAGCACGGGGTGGGGGAGGGGGCAGGGATGGGGGGAAAAGGAGGTGGACGCGCGCTAACTGGGATCAAAGGAGGAAGTTAGAATGATCCTCATGGGCAGTTATTTACCTATTTATCCCCCAAGTCACAACCACAGCCCTCATAGGGTCACCCAGAAACACACAATCACACGCATAACACGCACGGTTATTCTTAAAATCAGCCCCACACACAGACACACACTCGCAATACAACCCAATCACAGACTAGCCCAGGGATCATCCCATCACCCATATCCATACAATCGTCAACTCCCACTTCGAGCACACACATAATTTCACTCTAAATGCCCCCAAGCTCATGGCTGCGCACGCACACAGACCTTTAAATTGCATGCATTCCCATGCACGCACCACGAAACAGGGGCACAGGTTTCCATGCCCCCCCGCAAACTGTCACACCCGCAAACGGCCCAGAGTCAAACACTCGAGCCCCACGCAACACGCACACCCCCCCTCCCCATTCCCCACTCCTCGGCCTCTTTGGGAGCCTCGCTGGACCCTGCACTCCAAGTCCTATTTCCCCTTTCCCAGCTCACCGGCCTGCATCCGGGGCAGAAACTGCAGAGAGGCCAGGAGCAGGCAGAGGCCGGCCCGCGGCTGGCCCGGGCCCCGGCGACTCCCCATCCCGGCGGGGCCCACACTCAAGGCGGGGGACCAGCCCGGGCGGCTGTAGGGCGCGGCGTCTCCTCGGGCTCGGTGCAGTCCCTCCGCGGCCGACTCCACTCGGGATCCGCAGGAGACTGCCCGAGACCCCGCCCTGGCCTCGCCCTGCGCTCCAGCGCCCGGCCAGGCGGAGCTCAAGGGAGGGGGGGGCAGCTGACAGCTGGTGTGGGGAATTGGGAAAGTTTGTGCTGAGCGCTGATTGGCCGGCAAAGGGTGGAGCCCTGGGCCGGGAGCTGGGCCCTTTTTGCCCCACCCCACAGTAGCGGAGAGTGAAAGAGCCGGCTTAAAACTAAATATTATAAAAAACTAAGATCATGGCACTTGGCCCTATGACTGCAGCCATGAAATCAGAAAACGACTGCTTCTTGGCAGGAAAGCAATGACAAACCTAGACAGTGTGGTGAAAAATAGAGACGTTACTCTGCCGACAAAGGTCCGTATAGTCAAGGCTGTGGTCTTCCCAGTGGTCAGGTACAGTTGTGATAGTGGATGGTAAAGAAGGCAGGATGCCAAAGAATTGATGCCTTTGAAATGTGGTGCTGGATAAGACTCCTGAAACTCCCTTGGACAACAAAGAGATCAACCCCGTCAATCTTAGGGAAATCAACCCTGAATACTTGGAAGTTGGAAATTGGAAGGACTGATGCTGAAACTGAAGCTCCAGGATTTGGGTCATCTGATGTGAAAAGCCGGCTCATTGGAAAAGTCCCCGATACTGGGGAAGATTGAGGGCAGAAGGAGAAGAGGGCATCAGAGGATGAGATGTCGGAATGGCATCACCAATACAATGGACAGGAACTTGGGCAAACTTCAGGAGATGGTGAGGGACAGGGAGGCCTGGTGGACTGCAGTCCATGGGGTCCCGAAGAGTCGTACACAACTGTCCGACTGAACAACAACAGTAGCAGAGTAGGGTCACTCCCACCCAGCCTTAAATTCGGGGTCCCAGCCTTTTTCTCCAAACAGACTCTGTTGAAGATCTTAGTCCCTTTCAAACCTGCAGCCTCCATCTAGGGCCTGGAATTAGAGGGTAGAGCTTTATGCCAAATCTTTTGTCTCAGTCAGGCCCCCAACTGGGGTCCCAGCCTGACGCTAAATCCTCACCCATATGCCTGACCCCACAATAAGGTACCAGCCTCACTCCCTGCCTCCCCTGTGTGTGCTCAGTCATGCCTGACTCTTTGGAGATGTCATGGGCTGTAGCCTGCCAGGCTCCTCTGTCCATGGAATTCTCCACTCAAGAATACTGGAGTGGGTGCATTTCCTTCTCCAGGGGATCTTCCTGACCCAGGGTCAAACCTGGGTCTCCTGCATCACAAGCAGATTCTTTGTTGTCTGAGCCACCAGAGAAACCCAAACTCTTAATCTTCAAATAAAGCCCCCCACCTCCATCCTCGGCGCTCTTCTCCCAGACTCAGATCCCAGCGGGATGTCCCAGGCAAAACTCCAAATCCTCACGCATTTCCCCATTAAATCAGGGAGTCTGGTCCTACCCTCAAGCAGCTGGGAGGGGTGGACCCCTGCCATTCCTGGGGTGAGGCAGAACGCTCCCTTCACCCCACTGGGAACTCTCCCCCACCCTAGTGTGAGGAGGACCCAGGGGATCAAGTCAGGCGGAGCTGTCTGTGCAATTGAACAAGCGCAGACAGGCAGGATCTGAGAGAGCTTCCGCAGGGAGGAACCCGAGGAGCGTGTCCCGGGCCCTGAACTGCCCCGCCCCCCATGGGGAAGAGAGAGAAGCCTCCCTCCCGGCCTCTGACTCTTAGACAAAGAGACTTTGTGTCCCTGGGGAGGAGGGGGTGGGGACCCATCTGGCCTGAGGGGGAGGGGGGGCCCTGAGTGGGAGGAGGAGAGGGAATCTCCTCAAGTCACTTCTACTCCCTCTTCAGGGACACCGGAGACTAAGACTTCCCTAGCTGAAGACCCGTAAAGTTCCTGCCCTGCCCTCTTTTGTTGGGAAGTTCTTCCTGTAGTCTAACCCCATCTTCTGCCATTTCTATGCCCTTTCTCTCTTTGAAAGGACCCTTCTGGGACCACACTGTCTGCACCAGAGATTCTTTGCTTAGGGTAGAAACAGCAGGAGAACACCCCTGCTCATTTCCCATCACCCCAAACACCCCCCCCAACCCTGAATAACTTATCATCATAACAAAAGCCCCCAGTTATGAGTGTATTGGGGAAGAAAGGAAATACTTGACAGATAAAAAGAAAGGACTATATTGAAATTAAGGGATTCTCGCCCTCTACCCCCCTGCCCCGTGGCTGCCTGTGTAAGGTCAGTTCATAATTGAGGAATCCCAGGGTTCCTTCACGCTGCTGGGGATCGGGTGGAGGGTGCTTAGGAGAGAGCAGATGAGCAGATGATAGGTGGCGGGAGTCAGGTGCTGGCCAGTGGAGGTCACACGTCCAGAGAAGAATCAACATGGCTGATCCACCCCGGACTGTACTCATCTCAGGATGCTCCTCTGGGATTGGCTTGGAGCTGGCAGTGCAGCTGGCTCATGACCCCAGGCAGCGCTACCACGGTAAGGGGTCTGGGGGTGGAGAGGACAGGCTGGGGCGCAGCTGTAGGTCTAAAGACTTGGCCTTCTACAGCTCTGGAGTCAATGGCCCAAATCTGCACCCCACCCAGAACCTCTGACCCAGAGCGCACTAGAGTCGAAGCAGCCAAAGGGCCATTACTTAACAGAAGGATGCAAGGGTGAGGACACTGCCCCACTTGGCAAGGTTGCTTCTCCCAGGCCTCTGCTGTCTTAGAGACATGCGCAACTTTGGCAAAACCCATGGGCAGAGAGCCTGGCAGGCTGTAGCAGACCCCCCTCCATGGGGTCGCAGAGAGTCGGATTTGACTCAGCAACTAAACAACAAGGATAAATTAGGCAAGAAACTTCATTTTGTTGAGACTTGGTGAGTTCATGGGGATAATATTATCTATGTGTTCTGATTACTACTGGTAAAAACAGAGCACCCCAAAATGTATGGCATACAACAGCTGCAATCACCTTTCTTGAGAGATTTACAAAGGTTATGAATTTGGAAGAGCGCAGCTGGGTAGTTCAGGCTCAAGGTCAAAGGCCACAACGAGAACAGATGAGACTGGAACAAGTCAGGGTTGGGCAGACATCTCTCTCCCTTCCAGCCGTCTCAGGGCTGCTTCATGTGGTCTTTCTTTCTGGGCTGGCTTGGGCTTCCTCCCAGCTTGGTGGCCTCAGGACAGGGCTGCTATAGGGTGGCTAAAGGCTTCAAGAGTAAGTGTTCCAGCAAGCAAGGCAGAAACTGCAACATCTTTTCCATCCTAATCTCCGAAGCCACACAGTGTTACCACAGTCTATTGATTCCCAGCTAGTCACAGGATTCAAGAATCACATTTCATGTCCTGCTGGGTGAGAAGCTACATTCTAGAAGAGCATGAGCAATAAAATATGTTGTGGCCATCTTTGGGAAATAAGTCAATGACCTAATCATAGTCAATGACCTAATCATATGAGGATTAGAGTTAGCACTTATTTTAAAATGTTTAGCATAGTATATGGCACATAGTAGGCGTTCAATAAATTGGAATCTATGCTGAAGATGTAAATGTAGCTATTCATACTTACATGTGCATATCTGCACATATGTTGACTTTAATTTTTTATTGGAAAAGGTGGCACTAGTGATAAAGATCCCACCTGCCAATGCAGGAGATGTGAGAGACACGAGTTCAATCCCTGGGTCAGAAAGATCCCCTGGAGAAGGAAATGGTAACCCACTCCAGTCTTCTTGCCTGGAGAATCCCATGGACAGAGGAGCCTGGCGGGCTACAGTCCATGGGGTCACAAAGAGTTGGGCATGAAGCAACTTAGCAAAGCACAATGATTTTACAATGTTGTGTTGGTTTCTGCCATACAATGCATATCAGCCACAATTATATCATATCCTCTCCTTCCCCACTCCCATTCCTCTAAGTCATCACAGAATGGAGGCTGGGCTCCCTGTGTTATATAGCAGCTTCCCTCTAGTTATCTATGTTACACATGGTAGTGTATATATGTCAATGCTACATTCTCAATTCATCCTACCCTCTCCTTCCTCCACTGTGTCCATTCTCTATGTCTGTGTCTCCATTCCTTCCCTGCAAATAAGTTTACTGGTACTATTTTTCTAGATTCCATATATATGCATTAGTATACAACATTTGCTTTTGTCTTTCTGACTTACTTCACTCTGTATAACAGGCATATGTTGACTTTAGATGTGCAGGCATTTCTTTTCTCAAACCAATCTGTTCTATGTTTATTTTATTGTCTTACCTACTGGTTTTGAATTTGACAAAGCCATGCACTTTATCTTATTTCATGTGATAGCCTCTGCACCTCAAATAGGGCATAGGGTAGAGTGAATGCTCAATACATGTTTGCTAGATGAATGGATGGATGGATGGATGGAGGTACATATAAATGTCTGTACATAAGTATGCATTTGTGATTGTACGGTGAATGTAGATGTATAAACCTATGGGTCTCCATTCCTCTGTGACATTCCTCATGCAGTATCACAGGAACATGGACGTTCACTCATAGGTTAAAGGAACCCAGTGCCTGCTCCAACTCTGCTCTCTGTTCCCAGTGGTGGCCACCATGAGGGATCTGGGAAAGAAGGGGACACTGGAGGCAGCTGCTGGGGAGGCTCTGGGTCAGACCCTCACCGTGGCCCAGCTGGACGTGAGCAGTGACGAGTCAGTGGCCCAGTGTCTCAGCTGCATCCAGGGAGGGGAAGTGGACGTGCTTGGTGAGTCTGAGCATCCCCTGGGGCCACTTGCCTCCTCCATGGCCTAAGCAGAGATCCTCAATCACAACAAGACCTCTCCAGTGTCTGGGAACCAGCCCTCTTGTTTCACCAGTAACCGCTGACACTGTACAGAAGGGGTAAACCAGTTGGCTAAGAGTCCAGGCTACCATTCTGTTTATTAGAGATACAAAAAAATAAATTGAAACCTGGGAATAGGGTGGATTTTTTTGAATGGAACTTCTCACATATGAAGAAAACCATACGTGGTTGGGGAAATTAATTTGATGAGTCATTGAGGGAAAGGAGCATGATGAAGAAGCAACTCATGGTCCCTAAATGGTCCTCTAAGGAGGGTGGATGTGGCTGTTTTGATGCAATTTGGGGTCAGAGCTGAATTGCTCATGCATTGAAGAGGAGGCTGTTCCCAGCAGTCCTCCTCCCCACCCAGGGTTAAGAGTCCCCTATAACAAGGGCTAAACTATATTTAAAGATTTTCAAGGCTCCACATTTGTCCGCCCTAGATACCCTGGATTAACCCCAGATTTGGAGTGGGGGAGGGGTGGGATGATTTAGCAATAGTCCCTGGGAGAGTGACCCTAGAAGGGTTGGGGGACTTCAAAGTAACCTTCACCCCTACCCCCCTTAGTGAATAATGCTGGAGTGGGCCTGGTGGGGCCCTTGGAAGGGCTCAGTCTAGCTGCCATGCAGAATATCTTTGATACCAACTTTTTTGGGGCTGTCCGTCTGGTCAAGGCTGTGCTTCCTGGCATGAAGAGAAGGCGACAGGGCCACATCGTGGTGGTCAGCAGTGTCATGGGGCTGCAGGGTGAGTCCTGAGGATCCAATGCTGGGAATCCTCCCAGTGTCTGACCCTCCCCCAGCTGGAAGGATGGCAACTAGGTTTTAACTCATATTCCCTAAATAGGCCTGCATTGAGGAGAATACTGAACTTCAGGAGGAAAAAGTTCTGGGATAGATTAATTATGTCTACCATGGATAGGAGTAGACAGGGCTGGTATACATGCTGCCAATGGCCATCCACATCCATTATCAACCCCACTTCTGGAGACCTCTGAAAATCTCTTCCAACCAGCCCACAAAACTCAAAGGAACCATCAGAACTCCTCCTGAGACTCCTTCTTGCCAGACCCCACCAGACCCCAGAGATGTCTAGATCTGGGACTCAGGTTCTGCAGGAAACAGAGTGGTGACTGACTAGAGATGTCTGCTTTGGGTCTACTATGGAGGCCACCTATTTGCCATCCTTGTGCCTGGCTCCTTCCTCCTCGAGCCTCTCTCAACTTCCTTCCTCTCCCTGGAAATTTCCTTGGAGCTGCCCCTCGCACCAGCAGCCCCCTAAGGAATCCACCCTACTTGTAACCCTGACATGGAAAATCTACATTTACCCAGTTCTTTGGCCCCTCTTCCAGCTACACTCCCTGACTTTGGGGGGACACATTCACTGTTCAACAGGGGCCAATAAAGACCCTGGTGAGTGGGGCTTGTCCTGGGGGACCCCAGGAACCCCATGACCAAGCGGCCCAAGCATTTAGAGGATAGAGGGAAATAGGAGAGTTCCCTGGACTAAGGATGGATGGAACACTGCAAGGAAGAGGTGGGACGAGGCACCCCAACTGCATCCTGACCCCACCTGGTCCCACAACACACTACCATACACCTATCACATTGGCCCCAAGTATCCTCTGACCCCTAAATCCTCTTTGCTCTGTCTCCCAAGACCCCATCCCTCTGGACCCACCAAGCCCACCACCCAGACCCCCAAAGGGCCCGCCTTCCTGCCGTCCTCTCAGGTGTCGTGTTCAATGAAGTCTACGCGGCCTCCAAGTTTGCCGTGGAGGGGTTCTTCGAAAGTCTGGCTGTCCAGCTGCTACAGTTCAACATCTTGTGAGGCGGGCATTTGGACAGCGATGGGGGGATGGAAGCAGTGGCGGGGCAGACAAGGAGAGAGGAGCAGTAGAGGAGATGGGTGGGAGCAAGGAGGCGTGAATAACAATGGGAGACGTGGGGAAGTGAGGAGAAAAGAGGGACGGTATTGGAGACTCCTGGCGGTCCAGTTTGTTAAGACTTCATTTCCAATGCAGGAGGCATGGGCTCAATCCCTGGTCAGGGAGCTAAGATCCTACATGCCACGCAGCCACAAAAAAAAAAAAAAAAAAAAAAAAAAAAAAAAAAAAAAAAAAAAAAAAAAAAAAAAAAAAAACCCAGAGAGAGACAGTATTAGGCAAAATGGGGTATCTGGCATTTGGGGGACACCAGACTCTCTCCCCTCCCCCTTTTCTCAGCATCTCCCTGGTGGAGCCAGGCCCGGTTATCACAGAATTTGAAGGCAAGCTCCTAGAGCAGGTTTCCACAGCTGAGTTCCCAGGCACCGACCCTGACACCCTGAGCTACTTTCGAGATCTCTACCTTCCAGCCTCCAGGGAGCTCTTTCACAACGTGGGACAGAGCCCACAGGACGTAGCCAAGGTGAGATGGGGCCCAGAGCCGCAAGACAGGGCTCAGGTATGTGAGGGGGCCCCTCCCTACAGAAACCCTGCCCCTCCTTGGGCCCCAGAGCTCAGGGCTCCACCCCACAGGTCATCGTCAAGGTCATCGGCTCGGCCAGACCACCCTTGCGCCGACAGACCAACACCCGCTACGCTCCGCTGACCGCACTCAAGGCCATGGATCCCTCCGGCAGCCTGTATGTGCGAACCTCCCACCGCCTGCTCTTCCGCTGGCCACGCCTCCTCAACCTTGGCCTTCGGTGCCTGGCCTGCAGCTGCTTCCGCACCCCAGTGTGGCCCCGATGAACAGAGCCTCACCCAACCCTCCTCACCCCCCAACAACTAAGCCTCTTTAGTTCACACCCCTCCCTGGATATACGACCCTTCCCTCATTCATTCATTCATTCAACAAACTCTGCCTGACACATTTTTGTGTCTGGGCATTGCTGGAACCCCAGAGGGCACCCGGCCTCCAGGCACAGACCCCTCTGTGGTCAAGGCTAGGAGCAGAGAGAGTGGACCCTGGGATCCTGGCATTCTGGGCTGAGGAGCCCAGATCAGAGAGTTGGAGCTGTGTCTGGGAAGGCAAGGAAGGCTTCCTGGAGGAGGGGGCATTGTCCCTGGACCTTGAAGAATGAAACAGGCTGTCTCAGTCAACCTCTGGACTTCATTATCTTCAGTCTGGGGATTTAGGAATGATCCAGACATCCCCATCCCTCCTCCCCTTCTACACACACACTCAAAGCTGATTTGACTAAGGGGTTTCCAGACTTCCTGGTCACATACTCCATCAGGAGGGCTTCCCAGGTGGCGCTAGTGGTAAAGAACCTGCCTGCCAGTGCAGAAGATGTAAAAGATGCAGGTTCGATTCCTAGGTTGGGAAGATGCCCTGGAGGAAGACATAGCAACCCACTCCAATATTCTTGCCTGGAGAATCCCCATGGACAGAGAAGCCTCATGAGCTACAGTCCATAGTAGGGTCACAAAGAGTTGGACATGAATGAAGCAACTTAGCATGCATGCATTCCATCAGTAAAATGTGTTTGCAAACACATCAGCAATGTATGTATATTTTTTCATAAAATATATATTTGCAACTAATAGTAACCACTGTAAGTAATAAAGCTCAATTTCTTATGTATAAATAAAAACATTAAAAAAAAATAGGGCCTTTCTCACACCTATTAGCATGACTACATTTTCTTAAATGCCCAGAAAATAGCAAGAGTTTGCATTAATATAAAGAAGTTGGAACCCTGTGCACTGTTGGTGGACATCCCAGATGGATCAGCAGGTAAAGAATCCACATGCAATGCAGGAGACACAGGAGACTCAGGTTCAATCCCAGGGTCAGGAAGACCCCCTAGAGAAGAAAATGGCAACCCACTCCAGTATTCTTGCTTGGAAAATCCCATAGACAGAGGAGCCTGGCAAGCTACAGTACATGGAGTCACAAAGAGTTGGACACGACTGAGCACATCGCACATTAGGCATTAGCAGACACTGTTGGTAAGAATGTAAAATGGTGCAGCCACTATGGAAAGTGGTATGGTAGATCCTCAAACAATGAAATGAAATTATCATATGACTCAGCAGTCCCATTCCTGGGTATCACCCAAAAGAATTGAAGAGATATTGTACACCCATGTTCAGAACTGCATTGCCCACAACAGGCAAAAGGTGGAACCAACCCAAATGTCCCTCAACAGATGACTGGATAAACAAAATGTGATCCATCCATACAATGGAATATTTATTCAGCTTTAAAAAGGAAGGAAATTCTGACACATGCTAAAACATGGATGAAACTTGAGGACACTATGCTGAGTGAAAGAAGCCAGACACAAAAGGATAAATACTGTATGAAGTCCTTAGAGGAGTCAGATTCAAAGGGACAAAGTAGAATGGTGGGTGCCAGGGGCTGGGAAAAGGGGAATGGAGAGTTAGTGGTTAATGGCGATAGAGTTCCAATTCTACAAGATGAAGAAAGAGTTCCTGGAGACGGATGGTGGTGACAGTTACACAACAGTGTGAATGTACTTATCACTAATGAACTGTAGGGGCTTCGCTGGTGGCTCAGTGGTAAAGAGTCCGCCTGCCAATGTAGAAGACATGGGTTCAATCCCTGATCAGGGAAGATCCCCCACACCACGGAGCAACTAAGCCTGTGTGCCACAGCTGTTGAGCCTGTGCTCTAGAGCCTGGGAATCAGCATTTCTGAAGCCCTAGAGCCCTAGAGCCCATGCTCTACAAGAGAAGCCACTGCAATGGGAAGCCCAAGGACCACAAAGAACTAGAGAGGAGTCCTGGCTCGCTGCGACTAGAGAAAGGCTGCACGCAGCAATGAAGATACAGCACAGCCAAAAAATAAATGAGTAAATTTGTTTTAAAAACCTAGTCAACTATACACTTAAAAATAGTGAAGAGGGACTTCCCTGGTGGTCCAATGGTTAAGACCCCATGCTCTCCATGCAGGGGCTGCAGGTTCGATCCCTGGTCAGGGAACTCAGATCCTGTATGCCTCAGCCAAAAAAAAAAAAAAGTGACGATGACACATTTTGTATTGTATATACTTTGCCCCAATTAAAATTTTTTTAAACCAATAAGTATTCCATCTAAACCCTGAGACAAGTGTTCCCCAGGTTTCTTGGCCCTCCTCTTGAGAATTCGGAAGCAAATGGGTGTAAATGCTGACTTTGCCTCTCATTCAATGGGTTGGGGCTGGGAAAAGGGGAATGGAGAGTTAGTGGTTAATGGCGATAGAGTTCCAATTCTACAAGATGAAGAAAGAGTTCCTGGAGACGGATGGTGGTGACAGTTACACAACAGTGTGAATGTACTTATCACTAATGAACTGTAGGGGCTTCGCTGGTGGCTCAGTGGTAAAGAGTCCGCCTGCCAATGTAGAAGACATGGGTTCAATCCCTGATCAGGGAAGATCCCCCACACCACGGAGCAACTAAGCCTGTGTGCCACAGCTGTTGAGCCTGTGCTCTAGAGCCTGGGAATCAGCATTTCTGAAGCCCTAGAGCCCTAGAGCCCATGCTCTACAAGAGAAGCCACTGCAATGGGAAGCCCAAGGACCACAAAGAACTGGAGAGGAGTCCTGGCTCGCTGCGACTAGAGAAAGGCTGCACGCAGCAATGAAGATACAGCACAGCCAAAAAATAAATGAGTAAATTTGTTTTAAAAACCTAGTCAACTATACACTTAAAAATAGTGAAGAGGGACTTCCCTGGTGGTCCAATGGTTAAGACCCCATGCTCTCCATGCAGGGGCTGCAGGTTCGATCCCTGGTCAGGGAACTCAGATCCTGTATGCCTCAGCCAAAAAAAAAAAAAAGTGACGATGACACATTTTGTATTGTATATACTTTGCCCCAATTAAAATTTTTTTAAACCAATAAGTATTCCATCTAAACCCTGAGACAAGTGTTCCCCAGGTTTCTTGGCCCTCCTCTTGAGAATTCGGAAGCAAATGGGTGTAAATGCTGACTTTGCCTCTCATTCAATGGGTGGCCCTGGGCAAGTAACTCCCCTGGTGTCATCTTCTACCAAGTAGGACTAGCAGTAAAGTGCTGAAACCAAGTCCTCTGTACTGTTTCATTTCACTTGGAATACTTGCTGTGGTTTTGCATTCAATAACCACCTTGGAATGCCAGGCTCCAGGCAAAGTTTTTTAATTAAAGTTTGCTCGGCAGCCTTATGAGATGGAGTCACTCAGAATGTCCCCAGTTTCATGAGACAGAGGGGAGGAGTGGAGAAAGGCAGGAATCTAGTCTGGGGCCATCCAACTCGGTCTATGCTAGTCTTTATAACTTCTTCTAGGAAAAGGGAAACTGAAAAGAGAAATCCTGGACCCTCGGAAGAGATCTCTTTGAGTCAGTGCAGGGGCTACTCAATATTTTTTCAAATCAGTTCCTCCTTTCTGCTTCCTCTGTACTGGATTTTTGAAGCAATGTTGAAATACCTGCAAAAGAATATCTGAAAGTAGATAACGGTGATGGTTGCACAAGATTATAAATCCACCCAAACCCACAGAATTGTGCACTTAAACAAGACAATGTTTATGGCAAATAAATGATATCTCAATTAAAAAAAAATTTTTGGAGTCTATTTGCAGAGGACGAGGGTTCGACCCCTTGTCAGGGGACTAAGATCCCCATCATGCGGCACATGAACCCCACATGCATGTGGTGGACGTCCCCGGTGGCTCAGATGGTGAAGAATCTGCCTGCAATGCAGGAGACCTGGGTTCCATCNGGAACTGAAAGATATAGGTTCATATTATCTTTAGCTTAGGTTTCTCAAAGAAAGAATATCTCTGAGTTCCTATAGTGACGGCTACCTTAGCTACAATAAACGAGCCTCTGTTTAGGCTTATTCTGAAGGAGATGCTTTACAAGCTTTTTATTTTTTTTTTCCACAATATTTGATTTTTTAAATTAGTTTTTATTGGAATATAGTTGATGTACAATGTTGTATTAATCTCTACAATGAGATATCACCTCACACTGATCAGAATGGCTATCATCAGAAAAATCTATAAACAATAGCTATCTTCATGGCAGCAATGGAGACAGAGACATAGAGTGGACTTGTGGACACAGAGAGAGAAGGAAAGGGTAGAAAATTTTTGAAGAGATTATAGTTGAAAATTTCCCCAACATGGAAAAGGAAATAATAGATCAAGTTCAAGAGGTACAAAGAGTCCCATACAGGATAAACCCATGGAGAAACATGCCAAGACACATACTAATGAAACTAACAAAGACTAAACACAAAGAAAGAATATTAAAAGCAGCAAGGGAGAAGCAACAAGTAACATACAAGGGAAACTCCCTACATTTAACAGCTGATCTTTCAGCAGAAACTCTGCAGGCCAGAAGGGAATGGCAGGATATATTTAAAGTACTGAAAAGGGAAAATCCACAACCAAGATTATTGTACCTGGCAAGGATCTCATTCAAAATTGATGGATAAATAAATAACTTTTCAGACAAGCAAAAGTTAAGAGAATTCAGTACCACCAAACCAGCTCTACAACAAATGTTCAACAGACTTATATAGTCAAGAAATACAAGAGAAGAAAAAAGATCTGCAAAATCATCCCCAAACAATTAAGAAAATGGCAATAGGAACACATATATCAATTGAACTTCCCTGGTGGCTCAGACCGTAAAGCGTCTGCCTACAGTGCGGGAGACCCAGGTTCGATCCCTGGGTCAGGAAGATCCTCTGGAGAAGGAAATGGCAACCCACTCCAGTACTCTTGCCTGGAAAATCCCATGGACGGNGTACACAGTAGCCTGCCGTCAGACTCTACCATTAGAACTTTCTCGATCTTGGCTGCCTGCCTCACCCCAAAAGTCTCCTCTGTCCTGAATCTTATGATTTTCCAATATTTCCTTGCTTTATAAAAAAAAAAAGAACTCCATTTTTTCTTTTTTTAGGACTTCCAAAGTGGTACAGTGATTAAGGATTCACTTTCCAATTCAAGCGACCTATTCGATCCCTGGTTGGGGAACTAAGATCCCACACACCTTGGAGCAACCCGCAACTACTGAGCCCGGGCACTCTGGAGTCCATGAGCCACAAGTCAAGGAAAGCCTACCTGCCACCACTGAGACTCAACACAGCCTAATTAATGTAGAAACCTCCTTTAGGATGCTCCTCAATATTCTGTGATGACCTCTATGGGAAAAGTATCTGCAAAAGAATGGATATATGTGTATATATAGCTGAATCACTTTGCTGTACACCAGAAACTAACATAACATTGTAAAGCAGCTATACTCCAACACAAACTAAAACCTGTATTTATAAAATGTTTTTAAAACTCCCTTAAGTAAATTATTTTAAAAGACACAATTACCTCCTTACCAAAAGGGAGGAGCCATCACACCCAGGATGAGTGAAGCTGAACTTGATTTTTATTTGCAGGTGGAGTGGACAGTATTCCAAACGCCATTCACATAGTTTTTTTTTTTTTGGATGCTCTCTGTCTTCATTGCAGCTCACAGGCTTTCTCTAGTTGCAGCGAGCAGGGGCTGCTCTTCATTCCGGTGCACAAGCGTCTCATTGCGGTGGCTTTCTTGTTGCAGAGCATGGGCTCTAGGCACGTGGCTCAGTAGTCGTGGAGCACGGGCTTAGCTGCCCTT